GGGGGGGGGGTGATGGGAAGGAGAGGAAAGGAGAACCACAGACAAAGGTCCAGTGAGTTGCTGTTGATTGTCAACGAGATTAAGGGGTTAAAGGGTTTGAGGGAGATCGAGGTGGGGGCGGCAGGGGCCACTGGGGGCTTATGCCACAGCTCAGCTTTCAGCAGCTGTAATTGGACCAGGAGTGCGAGACATTCGAGAAATGAGAGATATTCCAGATGAGGGAGTGTCTTTTTCTGCGTTCACGTGCGATTCTGGATGTGCAAGAACAGCTTGAACGATGATGACATGGTCACAATGAAGCGCTCGACATGATTCATGTACTGGCCAATGTAAAAAATCAGTAGCTTGAGTGCTTCGGAAATGCACTAGAGACATGAAGTATACCTCAATATATGAAGCACAGCACTAATGGCAAAAGACACAAACCATGACCATCAAATACTAACTCACTTTTAAAACACGTAACTTATGGGAAAAACAACACATACTCTCCTGTTCTGAGGAGTCTGGGATCTGTAAGATTTTTTTTTACGTTTTTGAAAGAACCAGGCTGCATTTATTTAATCCAAACACAGTAAAAACAGTAACAGTGAAATGTTATTACAATTTCATATAATTGCTTTCTATTTTAAAATGATTTATTCTTGTGACGCAAACCTGAATTTATAGAAGCCAGTACTCAGTATTCAATGTATCGTGATCTTTCAGAAATCTTTCTTACCTGTTGATTTGGTTCTCAAAAAACATTTATTATTGTTAATTACAGTTGAAAAAAGTTTCAATTTGAAACTCAAAAAAAGTTGAAAGTTGAAATTCAAGTTTTCAAAAAAAGTATTAATGCTTAATATTTTCATGGAATCTGTAATGTTTTTTGTTTTTTTCAGGATTCTTTGAGGAATAGAAAGAATAGAACAGAAAAAAAATTGCATTTATTTGAAATGCAAAATGCCTTTACTGTCACTTCTGATTAATTTAATGCACCCTTGCTAAATAAAAGCATTAAACAAAATAATTTTTTTTTTTTTTAAATCATACCGATCCCAATCTTTTTGAACACTAGTGCATCTACCTGCACATCATCTTGAAAACCACTTAAAGATACCATACAGATTTCCTGTATGGCAATTTTCATTTATATTCAGCCTGGACGTCATTAATGCCTTAATTTCAAATGACAGAATTTCTCCAATATCATCGACCAAAAGCATAAACTGTGGGATCCACAACAGCGGTGCTTTGTGCCAGGGTGATACAGATAGTACAGTAAAGTTTAGAAAAAACAGATACTTACCAGTTTGCTGTAATGGTACTTGCAGTATCCACAGTATTTCACATTATCAGCATCTGAGCCCTGTTCTTCACACAATAACCCAGCAAACTGAGCGCTATATTCAAAAACAGAGAAAAAGCAACTTTAAAAAGACTATAGATTACAATTACAGTAATTTTAAACTATTTTTATACAATTAAAGGGGTCTCAAATCAATTGAAGTCTGAAGTCTGTTGTATTTAACATTTCTATTCCTATCCATTTAACAGATGGCATAATTAAGGACATTAACATGCTCATGAGGACGTATAGCTGGAATATTAAGGCTCTGCAACTCACCATGTGACATGAAAGGCCTGTCGGCAGCCATGTTTGTTGCATGTCATGCAGGCTCCAGTAGCAGCTTTGCTCTCACGGCCCTGTTCCTCACAGATGTAGCATGTCTAGATAGAAAAAAAACAGTCACTGAAGTGATTCTTCACATACAGAAAGCAGTTATTATGGTATATAATGCATTGTTGCACGGCCCACAGCTTGTTTAGCGTGAAGGCTCTACCAATTTAACAAGTCTCTCAGAAGCCGCCCTTCCCAGCGCCTCGATTATTAGGCAAGTGATAACCATGCCATTTTAAATTGGCTCACAGTGAGGACTCAATTACCAACAGAGCTGAATCTATTTTATCCCAGATTTTAAACCCACTATTTCAAGCATGAGATTAAACTTGGCTCCTTAGTCCTGCGAGTCATCAGACACAGTACTGAATCCAAATCATATAACACTAACTGATTGTATTTTACTTATCTACTGCATTGAAGGGCATCCATAGAAAACAAAACATAATTAGGTTTTCAAATAAAAAAATGAAAGAATGGTGTCATGATGGCATAACCCATTAGTACTTGATTGAACATTGTTTTCTTTACCCTCACGGTTGAGCGAAAAAGTTTTAAGCTAACATCTAAACATTTGGACTTTGCAATTAGTCTTGAGTTACAGTGATGCACAGCCAGTATTATTATAAACCTATACCTGCAAGTATTTAATAAACGAATTAATATTCACTCATGACTTTTAATACTTTTTCAGGCTTGGAAATGACAACTTAAAAAAAAAAACATTCTCTGATATTTGATGAATAAGAATATCCAATGACAAATAAATATGGTTGGTTCTTTTCATTTCGGACCGTGAGTGTAAATTCCCATAACATGGATCTCAGTTTTCATTCATTCAGCTTTGGTGCAGAATTAATAGCAACATTCTATATTTATCTAAGATTGATAAATGTAGCACTTGGTCCCTTAAGAAAACACATTCACAGTATAGACCTAAACTCCTTACATGCATACCGTTTACATTGCTGAGCTGATTTATGAGGCTCTTATGTCGAGCCTTTGTTTTCCCATTGATATCCAGACTATCAGCATGTGTGTTTCAGTGGTTAGAGAACTTACCTTATTATAACGTTCATGAGGGACAGACTGAAGCACGATGGGCTCCATGGTAGATACGTTGGCGAACTCCACTTCTGGGATGTAAAGAGCACAAACCACATGGGCCCAACCTAAACAAGACACATGACAAATGATCAGTAGATGTTAAATGAAGTGGCTAAGGTTGAATTATTTTTTTTTCTATGCAAACCTGCTGTAAAGATGGAACTGGGTTTAACAGTATAAAAAAAGTATGTATACATTTTTTTTTTTTTTTTACAAATTACTTAAATATAACTTTGTAGTTTTTCAATTTAAAAAAATAAAATAACATTAAATTAGTAATAAAATTATTTAATTATTTTTGTTGTTGTTCTTACTTATTTTTAATAATATGATTTTCTATTAAAATCAAGATGTTAAAAAGATGGATAATGCCAAATAGGAGGCTCTTATATTCAACACATTTTCTGTCTTTTAAATTTATTCGAGACCATGGTCATTTGTTTGCTCATAGTCGTGCCTATGGGGCACGCCTGGCTTCCTCCACAGTGTGAAAAACACTTATTAAAGCATGTGGGCTGAGTGTGACCGCAAAGACGAAGCACCCAGGACTGGAAGAGGCAGAGTCATATTCTCTCCTGCCTAGCGTCTAGACCAAGTGTTGAACCATAGGGTGTCATCACAAGCACAATACATAAATATTATACCATAATTTCAGGCTACTTCTAAACCTTTTCTCCCACATCAGCTGTCTTTTAACCACAAAACCCCCAAACTGTGAGGATTTAGATTTAATAACCATATTCTGCAATATGTTTGTTAGAGGTGAGCAGATGCTACTGATATCAAGTTGAAATGAACCTAAAAGAAGTGAACAAATTAGTTTTTGTTTATCCAGCTTAAGGGCAAAATAACAGGCCTAAACTTAAAGGTGAACCCATGAACTGTCTTTGACCCCAGCCTAAAGGGACAGGGAGGTGGGTTTTGTTGTTTTGAAGTCCCTCCAAGAATCCAGCAGAAGCCTATAAAACCAGGCAATAAAACCCAAGCACACCCCAAAGAACTTCTAAACCCCTCAGAGACAGAAGGGTGGCAAACGTAAAAAGAGAATGATTTGCCAAAGATGTCTTTAGCGGAGCATAAAGTACTCAAATAATCTTTTTCTTCAAATTCTAGTTAGACAGAATAACTTTAAACTTTTGGACTAAAGCAACAATAAAAAAAAAAAACCCTGAAAGGTTACACCAGGGAGGCAAAAACTGGTCTGAAGGCTCCACGTGAAGGATGCGTTTTTCAGTTTTTATTTTCCTTACATGTGTTTCAACACATGCTGTTAGGCCAGGTATATTCCCTGCTCAAGTGTTTTCATTTGAGATTATTCTTGTGTTTGCATAACTTAACAGAAGCAACACATGTCAAAACCTCTCCATGTGCTGGTCTGGTCACTGCTGCCGAGTTTCACTCCTCAGTTGGCCGAAATGTATAGATATCTTAAAAGCAAATCACGAACACCTACATCTCACTACTGGGATCATTGCTGGTCCAAACAAATACTTCCTACAATTTATGTTTCAGAAATCTTCACTCCTACTCACAAATAATGGCAAATCATGGAATGTTTTTGACGAAGAATTTCAAAAGCCTTTTCAAATTCAGGCCAAAAAAAAAAGGAGATTACATGGTCTGAAACAGCTAAACTGTAAGCCTGGGGCAATGATGTTTCCCTCATGGCCATTAAACAGCTCACCACCCCTAAAGATGGGGCATGGTCCCGCAGCTGTGTCCCATGCCATGTTTACAGTCTCTGAGCTGCCCTTGCCGTGAACCCGGAGCATGAAGAAGAGGAGACTCCTCTCAGCCCCACAATGACCCCGCCCACCCATAAAAACAAGGTGAGAGAGATAAACACGCACACTTCCTAACCCCCTTTGCTCAACTGCTTAAAAAAAAAAAAGGCAGATAAAATCTACAAATTATGTGCCAAAAATTACATAAAACTTTTGGCTTGTTCAAAAGGAGTTTAGATGCATTTTAGAAAAAGAAACATTAAAAAATACATCTGAACTCTGCATTTATTCATTGCAATATTTTCCTGAAATCCAAATTAATTTACGTTTAGGTGAGACATATGAAGATATTTTTTACCAATTAACAGCTTATTGAAGAGATACAGTAATAAACCCTTTTGACAGCAACATTTCAGTGATAATTAAAACTGCCAGAGGATAGCAGTGAAATACTGCATACAAGAGAAAATCAATTCACTTCATTTTTTTTTTTTTTTTCTATGACTTTCATTAGAGGCGTAAAAACAGAAAGGTGTCATCCTCATCAGAGCATATGTTCTTCTCAAGAGCTTCCATCATTTTATCACCTCACAATAAAAACTGGGCTGACTTACCCCATTTGAAAACAATGACAATTTACTTATTGTGGAGGTAATACAAATTTAACCCAACAAATGTTTTTTTCTTCAAAGATTTTATTAAATAATTGGTCTATTAAACACACTCAATCATCAAAAAATTTAAGCAAAATATAAAGCATTACAAAACTGTGCACAGCGCCATATGTGTTACCAATGGCTGCCATCATGTCTAACATCATTTACGCTACAGGCCTACATTTAGCAAATGAGTGACTGCAGTCTATTCTCGTCAACAACATTTAGAGTAGGCCTAATGCTAGAGATGTTTTTCCTCAGCAAGTGCAAAATAAAAACAGACAGTCTTACCTCCATTATCTGTTCGTTTCAGTGCTCCGTCTTTGTGGGGACACAGCTCGCACCTCTGTGAAAAGAAGAGAAATACATGAATCCACAATCCATCCAACCATCTGTGGGCCAGACACAAGCTCTGAGGGCTTTCAGGAACTCTACTTTTGACATGGACATCAAACTAAAGCAGAGTTTAAGGGTTAGACATCATTTTTTCCTCTTTAAACTAGAGAACAGAGGATCTTGGCAAAACTGATCAATGAAACGGTAGACAAGAGCCTTTGATAGTTGACTGGAGCTGGAAAACATCCCTGAAGAGCTGCTTCTATATTCAAGGATAAAATAGGATCTGTTCTGCTATAGGAGAAAAACAGGTTTAGACAAAAAAAATTTGAAACAAATGACAGGACAAGAAAATAAATCCCTGTGAATATAAGATGAATGATGGAATAAAGACAGCTACTACCCGTTTTGAACAACAAAAACAATAGATGTGGTTGAAAGTGTCCTAAAGGAATGGGCACTGACACATGGTCTATTACACATGCATAAATACTATGACAATTCACTCATCTGTAAAACCTTGAACAGGGTTAGATATTTGGGCATAACATTGTGCTTGGAACCATGCCGTTACTTGCCACATACCACTATGTTCAAAGTTTTTAAGCTTCTGCTCAGTCTGCTGTCCTCCTCCTCTTTGTTACAAGTGGTGGACAGTCCTCCTCCTTCAGAGGTCTGCCAGCTCGGCTTTCTCCCCCTCCACCCTTTAATCTTTGGGAATGAAGTGGCAGAGCAGGGCACAAATGGGTAAAAATGGGCTCATTTTTAGTAAGTGGAGGAATGAGGACAAATGCAGAAATTTGGTTTCATAATTATGCTTTGGGAAAAGGCTTAGTTTTAAAAGTGCTCCAGTAAGCTATGGTTTTCACAAATCTTGGTTAGAAGTGGCAAAAAGGCCACAAAAATATTACACGTGACAAACTTGAGGATAAAAATAGGGAAGTCCTGTTTCTTTTCAGAATGAGAGCAAATGGCATTGAAAATGTTTCTAACCTCATAAAAGGCGTTATGTGAGATGCCTTGTTTTGGCACGAATCCAGATATTTCAACAAAAATGGCCACATAATGGGTTGTGTAACAAGTTTCCCCTTCTTGTGACCCACTATTCTTTTGCTCTAAACTGCCACTTAGGTTTCATGGCTACCTGACAGCTCACGCAAGTCACATGCACAGCCATCAAATCGCAGAGCTCTCAAAGGAAACTGCTGTAACTGCCAACACAACTTTGCCTATCCTAATCATTCATGTTTCCTTTACCCCAACCACCATCCTCTATTAATTAAATACAAGAATGGCATTTATTTTAAGCTACAGCATGTTTTAAGAAACAAGGGCATTATGTAGGACACTAACATTGACTACAACACATTATAAACATGTAGCAAAAGATTCAAACAAATAAAGGTGTTTCCTCAAATATGGCAGTTTTAAAAAAAAATTTTTTTCATTGTGCTACAAGGATGTTGAATTTAAACATGGTCTTATTTACTGTATACTAGGGATGGGCCGATTACCGGTTTCAAGGTATACCGCGATTTGAAAATTTCACGGTTTCAAAACCACTAATATTTTCTGTTATACCGTTCCTGCGGTATGCGCTGTTTTTCATGTCTCCTCAAAGACTAAAAGTGAAGGAATCCCTCATGACCCCTCCCCCTCCTGTTGTTGCGAGCAGTCAGTCACGTGTGTGCATGACGGCCGAGAGCTTCCCCTGGAACTTACGCGATCGGCAACCGGCCGTTTTTTGTCTTATTGCAGCTCGTCTCTGTTCTAGACTTGCACAAACTGCGTTGCAATGCAATCATTGTCCAAAATGTCATTTATGTGAAAATATGAAGTCTGTAAATGGCCGTTAACACAGGCCAGAGACGCTGAAGACGGACGCACAGAGAAAAATACTGTAGCAGACAGATCACTCACTATTCATGATGCACGAACTATTGGAAGAAAATCCTCAATATTGATTTGGGGGTTTATATGAATGTGTTTCTGAGGGGAACTGACTGTCTTCAGAAAAGTTAACATGGTATTTTCTTTTCATCTCATCTCTGTATAGTTAATATTAAATTATTACAAACACTCGATGGTGGTTTAAAGTGAGTTTTGAGTAAAAGCGGAATATAAATCTTATTTATTGTCTTATGCATGATGCTACAGTTTGCATGAATGGTCACATAACACGCGCTTTCGGTCGTGTAACGTTAGTATCAGAGCTGTAGGCTCTGGTTAGTATGAACGGACATCTGCATATGATCGGAGCTCCACGCAGCTCCCGCGCTACTCTATACTGGTGTATTACAGTACCACGAGAGCTAAAGAGAGCAGACTGCTCCGTGTGCTTTCGAATCGCTCTCGCGGATGATCGATCTGCGCCGCGCCTCTAGTCGAACACACCGGCTAGTGCTGCAGGCTTATTGGCTCACTGACGCTGATGAGATTAACCCCTTAGGTATCGAAATTTGGTACCGAACGACGAGACGTTTTTCGATACTCGATGGTATCGAGGCAATTCGGTCGGTGCCTAAAAAGTATCGAACTCGATACCCAGCCCTAGTCAGAACATTCTGTTTTGCTACAAATTGGGTTATTATTAAATCAAATTGTGTAAATGAAAGTATATAAATAAATGATATGAAATTATATAAATTATATCTATATTATGTAACTAAAATTAAAGGGGTCATATGATGTTGCTAAAAAGAATATTATTTTGTGTATTTGGTGTAATGAAATGTGTTTATAAACATATGCCCCGCCTTTCTGAAACGCGTCGATTTTTACAAAGCTCATCGGTCTGAAAAGCGAGGTGTGCTGTGATTGGCCAGCTATCCAGTGCATTGTGATTGGCCGAATAC